TGATCCCCATATGCAGAATGTATTTGGAGAGCGGTTCGATCTGATGGCGCCAGGAAGACATGTTCTGGTCAACATCCCCCGTGGAGAGCGCGCTGAAAAAGTATTGCTTCGTGTGCAGGCCGATGCACGCCGAATGGGCGAATCTTGCTCGGACATGTACTTCCAGGCCTTGAACGTGACTGGCTCCTGGGCAGAGGCAAAACAAGCCGGAGGTTATCATTACAGCGCGTCGCAAAGCGAGGTCGGGACTCTTCCGGAATGGGTTGCGTTTGGCAAGGTCGAGTTGAAGATCGTTCGCGGGCACACAGACGGCGGCGTGTCGTACTTGAACGTGTTCGTGAAGCATTTGAGACGGTCGGGGTTTGCTGTCGGAGGTCTTCTGGGCGAAGACGACCACAGCGACGTTAGCACGCCCGCGCCTGAGTGCGTCGAGATGCTTGCGCTGCAGAAAATGCGCGCGCACCAGCCTAGCATTGGTTTCTCAGCGGCTTCGACTGCAGTGGGAACATTCGCTTAGTTGCGCTTTCGCAGACCGTCTGTGCCTCTAGTGGTCTAGTAGTGGCCTCGACTTCATACCGACAAGCCCATGGCTGTCCCCCTTTTGTGCAGGAAAACAAGCTCTGGCCCGAAGTGACACCCAGAGATCGCCAGGTTGGTCCAAGACGCCCAGGCAGTCATCCAAGTGATCCCGACAGGCGCCGAGAAGCGCAGAAGAGGCCGCAGGAGGTCCCGAGACCGGTCAAGAGGGCCACAGAACGGCCCAAGAGGCGTCCAAGACGGCCCAAGAGAGCCCTAAGACGGCCCCAAGAGGGGCCCAAGAGAGGGGAACGCGAACCCACAATTCGAGCGCTTCGCCCCAAGACGCCGCCCAGGAGGTCCCGTGACGCCCCCGAGAAGCCCCACGAGGCCCGCACGAGGTCCACAAGATGCCCCACGATGCCCCTAGGAGCTTACGATATCCTTGCGGACATCCACGAGGCTTCTAACCCACAACCCAAGCACGGTGGCAGGATGGGCCGCAGGCCATGAGGCAGTATGGTACCCATGAGTTCTCACGCTTGGGCCGTTTGTTGCCGCTCTTGGGCATCTCTCGAGAGGGCCTCGTGGAGACGCCTTGGGCCGTCTTCGAGGCACGTTGGGCCGTCAGGGGGCCGCCTCGGGCGCCTTGGGGCGACATTGGGGCGCCTCGAGGCCCACGACGTCCTCACGAACATCCACCCTCTCCGGCCTCTCGGGGGGGCCCTCGCTGGACCCCCGGGATTGTCACAAGGCGACCCAGAAGAAGAACCGGCCGTGGGGAGAGAGTCGGGAGTTCTCGGGGGGAGGGCGCAGTGAACATGTCGAGACATGGGATGCTCGGGACTGGCTTACCCCGCCTCAGGCGTCTTGGGGCGACATTGGGGCGCCTCGGGGCCCAGGATATCCTTACGAACATCCACCGTCTCCGGCCTCTGGGGGGTCCTCGCTGGACCCCTGGATTGTCACGAGCGACCCAGGATAAAAACCGGCCGTGGGGAAAGAGTCGGGAGTTCTCGGGGGGAGGGCGCAGTGAACACGTCGAGGCATGGGATGCTCGGGACTGGCTTACCCCGCATGGCTGACATGCTAGTATGCGTAAGCATCGGCAGCAGTCATTAGACCAGCACCGGCATTCGCATTCGCAACAGCACGCCCATTCCCATGTCCATTCGCCTGAGCATAGCGTTAGCGTCAGCATCAGCATTCGTAGTAGCAGTGGTACTCGTGCCAGTCTTCGTAGCAGTGTACGTACGGGTCTTCGGTCTTCGGATCAGTCTAAGTGTCATTGCCAGTATCAGTTACCTCCACCTTCATCCCGACCACTATCCCTACATCCCTAGCCGTGTGTCCATACCGCCATCCTGGTCCTTATCCCTATCCCTGGCTCGATCCCCTCTCGGGACCCTCCAGCTGGGCCCCCATCTGACTTGTGTAAAGCTGTTTACGGTGTTCTGCTGCAAGGGTGTCATGTTGTTTGCCTTTGGTCCTTGCTCTGGGCATGACGGGGCGCGCCGAATCCCACCAGTCCTCTGGGTGTGCGGCGTGAGCGCTCTACTTTTTAAGGAACTGGGCCTGCGGGCCGCTCTGGCCGCAATGTGGCCGCCGTCGCCGCCTCGTCGCCGCGCGTCGCCTGGGCCTGCGGGCTGCTCTGGCCGCCGCCGTGTAGCCGCCGTCGCCGCCTCGTCGCCGCCCGTCGACACCCGTCGCCTGGGCCTGCGAGCCGCTCTGGCCGCCTCGACGCCGCCCGCCGCCTCGTCGCCGCCCGCTCTGCATTGTGATCGCATAGCGTTGCACTGCTTTACGCTGATTTGCATTTCTTTGCATTGCCATGCCGTGGTTTGCATTGCCTTCCGTTGCAGTGCTTGGCACTGCGTTGCATCGCGTTGCATTGCTCTGCGTTGTTGTGCATTGCATTGCTCTGCATCGCGTTGCGTAGCTCTGCATTGCGTTGCATTGCGGTGCAGTTGTTTGCATCACCTTGCATTGCTATGCGTTGCTGCGCATTGCTTGGCATTGTCGTGCATTGCGTTGCGTTGCGTTGTTTCGTATTGCGTTGTACCAGTTTGCATTGATTTACATTGTTGTGCATTGATTTGCACTGATTTGCATGTGGTTTCGTTGCGTTGCCTTGCTTCGGATGGATTTGCATTTCTTTGCGTTGCTTTGCATTGAGTTGCATTGCTTTGCATCGTGTTGCGCCACAGTGATTGTACCACATGGATTGCCCCACATATGTTGCAAAAAGTCAGTGTTTGGGGTCCTCGCTGGCTAACGTGGCTCCAAGAGGCTTCCAATCTGGACCCCAAACATCGCCGCCACTGTGGCTCAAGCGCAAGTTCCTGTACTCTTCCGTACGGTCGTGGCGGTCGCCGTGGTTTCCCCACACGCGCGAACTTGCCCGTGTCGTTTCATATCGACAAGGGCTCCAGATGGCGATTCGGATCTGGCACTGTGCGGTGCTACTTTCCCACGGCGTGCAGGCCGCGAGTTCCGTCCATGTCCAGCTCAGCAGCACGCAGTTGCTTCCCCGTGTGCAGACGAGTTGGGTGAAAGTGGCGGCGACCGATGGCGATCAACATCCCGGGCCATTTGGACACGGGAGTAGCTGTTTATGGGGCGTTTGCTCAATGGGGTCCCAGTCGTCTGGCTTGTACATGTCAGCCTTCAAAGATCAAGGGGTCCCAAGTAAAGTCAAGATCTGCTTGGACGACGGCACGTGCACAGGCGAATTTCAGGTCGCAGCTGGAGCTACTTGGGAAACGCCTGCTTATAACTCCGATAACTCTTTGTCGCTCAGGCTGGAATCTGATCATGGCGTGCCTAGCCCATGGTATCTGATAATGGCACGCGGAGGGCTCGGACTGTGCATGAATCAACGCCTAGACCGCACGTATTCCATGTTCACGTGCGACGGCGACGCTGGCCAGTCTAACAACCAGCTTGGTCTGATGGACAACTGGGCATCCGAGGGTGGTTCCACTGGCGGCGGCGGCCGGTGGAAGACAACATATACGGCCACAGGGACGCCGATGCCCGCGAACACCTACGCGAATCTGTACTTCTCTTACGCCGAGGCGTCAACGCCCGCACCGACGCCCGCACCGACGCCGGCTCCAACGCCCGCACCGACGCCCGCACCGACGCCCGCTCCGACGCCCGCACCGACGCCAGCTCCAACGCCCGCACCGGACCGCCCGCACCGAAGCCAGCACCAAGCACCAGCTCCAAACGCCCGCACGCCGCAGGAGCACACAACGGCGCTACTGCGCGGTCGACGAGTTCGGCCGTTGGTGATCCCCATATGCAGAATGTATTTGGAGAGCGGTTCGATCTGATGGCGCCAGGAAGACATGTTCTGGTCAACATCCCCCGTGGAGAGCGCGCTGAAAAAGTATTGCTACGTGTGCAGGCCGATGCTCGCCGAATGGGCGAATCTTGCTCGGACATGTACTTCCAGGCCTTGAACGTGACTGGCTCCTGGGCAGAGGCAAAACAAGCCGGAGGTTATCATTACAGCGCGTCTCAAAGCGAGGTCGGGACCCTTCCGGAATGGGTTGCGTTTGGCAAGGTCGAGTTGAAGATCGTTCGCGGGCGCACAGACGGCGGCGTGTCGTACTTGAACGTGTTCGTGAAGCATTTGAGACGGTCGGGGTTTGCTGTCGGAGGTCTTCTGGGCGAAGACGACCACAGCGACGTTAGCACGCCCGCGCCTGAGTGCCTCGAGATGCTTGCGCTGCAGAAAGTTCGTGCGCACCAGCCTAGCATTGGTTTCTCAGCGGCTTCGACTGCAGTGGGAACATTCGCTTAGTTGGGTTTCGTAGACCGTCTGTGTCTCTAGAGATCTAGTAGTGGCCTCGACTTCATACCGACAAGCCCATGGCTGTCCCACTTTTGTGCAGGGAAAAAGCTCTGGCCCTAAATGACGCCCAGAGATCGCCAGGTTGGTCCAAGACGCCCAGGCAGTCATCCAAATGATCCCGATAAGCGCCGAGAAGCGCAGAAGAGGCCGCAGGAGCTCCCGAGACCGGCCAAGAGGGCCACAGAACGGCCCAAGAGGCGCCCCAAACCCACAATTCGAGCGGTTCGCCCCGAGACGCCGCCCAGGAGGTCCCATGACGCCCCCGAGAGAGCCCACGAGGCCAGCACGAGCCCCCCCCCACGAGGCCCATAAGAGCTTACGATATCCTTACGGACATCCACGAGGCTTCTAACCCACAACCCAAGCACGGTGGCAGGATGGGCCATAGGCCATTAGACAATATGGTACCCATGAGTTCTCCCGCTTGGGCCTTTCGCCTTTCTTGGGCATCTCTTGAGAGGGCCTCGTGGAGACGTCTTGAGTCGTCTTCGGATCCTTCGAGGTATGTTGGGCCGTCAGGGAGCCACCTCAGGCGTCTCGGAGCGACATTGGGGGGCACGGGACCCACGATATCCTTATAAACATCCAGTACTATTTTACGACTACTACTACGACTACTACT